CACAATACAATGAAAACGTACTAAAGCTGACCATATAATTGCAGTAACAAAGTTTCCATGGAATTTATTATGTGGCCAAGTTAGCAAGAGAAATTGTAAGAGCGAATATTATTATTTGTTGTCTCTCGTAACGATGTACTTGAATCATGTACTGTATAATCCTTACTCTTGCTGCAAGGTTTTATGTCTTCTTTTCCAGAAAATAGCCCATAGCTACCTGATGTTACCGTGGAAAATATTACGACAAAAGGATCGAGCCGGATAAAATCGATGATAAAGATGATATCTAAGGAAACGGTTCTATTTTATCTTGTTATATGTTTCTGTTCAGACAGTCTGAGTTAAAAGTGTAAAATTAAAATACAACGAAGGCTTGAGAATTCGAAGGCAGGAGAACAACTAAATGAGAGATATGCTTAGATCTATTTTTGTTCATCTCGCCCGCGACGCAGTATTGTGTCGAAGAGCTCGCAATATATGCCGCAAATCACACCCGTGTCATTCCAGCCGTCAATTCGTGCCGCTTCTAAATAAGTGTTATTAACCACTTAATCCAATCGGTTTAATCAATTCGAATAACTTCCGCAACGTGTTTCTTTTTTATTACGACGTTTATCCTCGGATGGATGGACTGACAGGTGAAAAGTCTTCTATTGATGAAACAGAGAATAAAACGAGACATTAGAACGATGTTACAAATGAAACGTGTAATGAGAAAAAAGTGAAATCCTCGAGTTCATTAACGACTATAATGCGTTCTATTTATTAAGAGACCAACGGAGCAAGGAGTGAATCAACTTCCTTAAAAACGGACGGAAGGAACAACAATGAAGCTACGAACTAAATGAGAGCCCCGGAGAGCTTCGAAATGATTCAGACGGGACCCATTCAACTTTACGAAGCGGATCTGAAGTACTCTCGAATTTCGAACAAAGCAAGGAGGATTAAGTAGCAGCTCTGTCTATTGCTCTCTCACAGGCGTTTGATATTCATAGATATTTCCGATGAACAATCTAGTTGATTGCCGAACTCTTTAAGTATTTGTTCACTTAATATTTATTGAAACGCACTTAATATTTGCCGAGCTTAATATTTGAGGAGCAGACTTTCAAAATGCGTTTTGTCCAAAATTTTATTGTCTTAGTTAGAGATGGCGTAGTATTCAGTGTTGAATAATTTATATAATTATAAGCTACTCTGAGATGTTCAGAAAGCATTTTTTCATCTTTAATTTATATGCTGAAAAAACAGACATTTCGAAGTAAATGATTATATTTTATAATTAATGACAAACAAAATGCATTTGTTTAACATTTTTAGCAATTGTTTAGCATGTTGTTTTGTTTAATATTTTGCATTGATTGGCATATTGTTATTTTCAATAAAGTGCGCAATTTTCTTGTGTGCGTAGTTTCTTTCTTTCTCGTTTTCTGAATATTTTGGACAAAACGTATTTTGAAAGTCTGCTCCTCATTTATCATTTAGCTTAAATTGTTTAACTTTTTAAAGAGCATATTTAACATTTATCGAATTCAACGATTATAATCAAGTTATTATACGCTCGACAGCGCTCACGATTCGAAACTCTTCCTTCGTTACAAATAACGAATTCTTTTTCGCAATATTCGTAACCTTTAAAATATTGAGTTATGCAAATAAGAATGAGACAAACGGTCGTAGGTGGAGGCAGAAGTATTCGTTCGGACGTAAAAGTATTACACGAAGCAAAAATACACTCCGCATTTCATACACACAATTCGCAAAGCTTCCTCCAAGATCCAAGAATCTGCTTGCTTATATTTTATTATATTTTTCTCGGTAAATAACAGGAAGAGAAAATCTCCGCTCCGTTTTAGACGTTATCTACCATGACATATTTAAATTCATATTTTACGAATTTAATTCATATTTCAAGCACAATGAAATTCAGTCGTCTCGATTAATCTTCGATGCGTGATGCTCCGAATGCATATAAAACGCGGGAACGTGTTCTTACTACCTGTCCGCGACTCTGCACTTTACTTAGAAAAATGAATCTCTCCGCACGAGCCAAATGCAAAGAGATAAACACGTCGGGGAAGATGAACGAACGATAATCTGTTTGGCAGTCAACCCGGTTAAATATTTTGTGAAGGAGCAGCGTGTATTAAATCTTACAATACATATTATTTTGCACACAACGCAAAGTGTATTAACTGTTCAAAAAAATTTTATTAACACGCAAAAAAGACGCGAGAAAGACACGGAAAAAAATAATGTTATTCTAAAGTATTTAAAAATTTAATTATATACAGAACTGAAAATAATTTTGTTCAACCATCACAATAATTTGTAGAACACAAAATGGTTGCTAGAATGTCAATATTTTTTACAACATTACTTTTACAACATTCTAATTATTTTAATACTTGAGCACATAATTATTTTGATAGTTTCACAAAATTATTTTCAGATTTTTAAGTAATTTTTTAGTTAAAAATTGTCACGTCAAGAATTTATTATAAAATCATCGTCAATGACATCATTATGATTTTTCTTAAAATGGCTTTAACTTGATGTCATCTTGGTTTTATATTGATTTTGTGTTTCACCTAAGAGGTAGCTAAACTTTTTAATACTTCAGCAAAACCATTTTTCCACATTAAGGATATATCTCAATCAAATATTTCCACGAATTAAACGATTGAAAAAGCTTCTTTTAATATAAGAACACAAAAATCTGTTTTTAATCAAAAGAGACATGGCTTAATCGACTTTCGTAATCACGGATGAGGGTATTAACTTAATTCATTAAAAGAAACTCAAAATAAACGCGCATTAAGTAAGCCGATTACAGAAACTACGGCGCAAATTATGGAAAAATTTATGCTCATAGATATTAATCACTTGTAAGAAAAGCAGAAAATTTTTGAGAGATTTTTACAAAATCAGGAATTAATGGGTATGTGTAGGGTAACTCTGGTATATATGCCGCACCTATCAAAAACTTAATTTATTAAGTATTATTTACTATGTTTAAAATAAACGAACTATATCAGTAAAAACTTTGTACTGTCTACTACTATGAAAAAAATATTAGAAATCCGAAATATTTAGTTTTTGTATTAAAAAATAAACTTTTTGAAATATCTTGCATTTTTGCTATATATAGATAATGAATGGGATATATGGCAAACATGCAAGGGTTTCAACAAACTAAACAAAGAATACGAAAGCAAAGTACTTATATTTTGCTCTATACAACATGCTTTACTATTCCTCTACACGTATGTATCACGAAATAACCACTAGGTCTTTTACACGCCTTACAGTAATCATTTTATGTAGATTATAATTTATGATGATGCTACTTGTTACACACACAGTGACAAATCGATTCAACTCACATATAATTTCATTAATATTAACAGTAAGAAGCTGAAATTATAACTCAATACTAATAATAACATAAAGGCATGTAACAGAGTAGTTGCGAGAAAATTACCTCCATTCCTTCTATTTTTTCTGACTTCCGCGGCATAAATCCCAGCGCGGCGTATATACCGGAGTTACCCTATACAAAAAGTCAATGAAAAAGAGTATAATACGGAAAAAGCAATTTTACCATCCAAAAATTTAATTAGATGTAGATCTGAAAATTATTTTGTCGCGGACTATCAAAATAATTATATTCCAAGCAAGATGATAAATTTTAATTACGCCTTATTGATGTTAAGATGTCATTAAGACGTTAGAATGTCATCTTGTTACTTAAATTAGAACAAAATTTAATGGATATATATACGAGAGAATTTTTTTTAATTTGAAAATATATAATAGTAGTTGTGGTACACACAATATAATATTCTAAAGATTTTTAATATGCACTTCAGTAAAATTAATCAAACTTATTTATATATTTTATTATAGTTTTATTAATGAATGAGAGAAGTTTACATAAAATTCTTCGAAATATAATGTTGTCCCAGGACCGCTATATTTTCAGGGTAAATTATAAGAAAAAATTCTCTCTGTATATATAAAGTATATACACAAAGTATATAAAAAGCCTGATTGCGTTAATTAAAATTCTAATTTAAAATCAGAATTTTCTGATTGAATCTATTAGAATTCTAGTTGAGATAACCAGAATTCTGATCGATATCAGAATCTTCTCGTTCGTTTTCTCGAGAAATTTTTCTCAACGTAACACTGCAAAAAGTATTCACAGTCTAACAATCAACTTGAGTCTTAAGTAATTATTTTAATAGTTTAATAAAATTATTTTCAAATCTGTATTTAGCTGTAAAATTTTTGATTATATTAGCAAAACTTTCCGTGGACGATAACACTTTATTTGTTGTAGAATCGAAAATTCATTATGTTAAAACTTGTATTAAAAATGAACAAAAGTACTCATAGATCCAAAGAACGAAAAGTTAAAAAGGTAAAGTGGTAAAATTTCGAACATGGTACAATTGTGAACAAAAGATAAATAAAATTGAATCCAATTTTCGAGATTCAAGTTTGATAATTCTCTCATTGTATGGAGGATACTGAAAAGAAGCAACCAGAAAAAAATCAAACTTAAACTTCGAAAATTGGATTTAAATCTTATTTCGCTCAGAATTGTATCATATTCGAAATTGTATCACCTTATCCTATGTTTAAAGACATAAAACACTTCAAAGGTGAAGGTGAAAATTCCGGAAGTGAATAAAGAGAAGCCCCGATCGAAATATTATTTCGTCGATGCGAACATTGATAAAAAAAAAACGCTAATAATCAACGCAAAATGTTATCACTGTGACATATTACGCTCTATATCACGACATATCACATTCATTATAAATGTTTTATTCATCACGAGTGATCTCATTATATCGTCACATAACTTCAAAGTACATGCGACTTCGAAGTATATGCTAATGACGCCGTGACAAAGAGCGTCGAGAATCAATTTCCGTATTAATTAACGAAATGCAAACGATGGAGAATTCGGTTGAAAGGAAGAGCGGTACCTTCGCTTCCGGTCGAAGTCGCTCCGTCGGCACACTGTCACTTGACTCGCCGTCGCGCGTCCAACTTCTCGTCGTTTCAACACAATTCGCGAATTTCCACAGCACAATGACGGCGGTGGTCGCTCGCTACCGTTGGAGAACGGGGTGCGAGGAAGAAGGTGACGTCCAGATACGGTAAAAGGGACACTCACTTACATGTGTCGCTCGAGAAAATTGGCCCAGCCGCGGGCGGGATGACACGACTCATCTAGGCGCCGATTCTAAACTGGAAACAGAGCGCGCCGCGCGAACGAACGAACTGCCCGCCAAGCCGAGTGACGACGGACGAGCTCGAGAACGGCCGAAGAACCGCGAAAAGTCGCCGGCGCGGCGCGACCGCTCATGCTGAAACAGAACGATAAGTCACGGTAACGTTAAAATTATGTTAAAATGAATTAAAAAAGTAATGATCAGTAATTAATATTATTGTAAAGGCTAAGATGCACTGATGATGGCTCGAATGGATGCCGAAACGTATGAATTTTAATAATTAATAAACTTATTCATCGCAAAATTTACAGCGACTATACTCTCATTAGCCCTTGTTTATGGTTTTATTTAAAATGAATTGTTATTGATTGAAAAATAATTCTTGGGCCGGTATTAATAGTCAGATCTTATATTCAAGACCGTCTTAAGTACGGTCTTAAGGAGTCACGAACCAATCAGAGGGTCGCGTTAGCGACTTAAAACATTACTTAAGACGGTCTTGAAATAAGAATCGACTATGAACACCGGCCTTAGGCCCAGTTTCACAACTCATGCATGGTTAACTCTTAACCGAGATTCAACTTATTCATTATCTCTTTCCAATTCTAAAATTGAAAGAAGATGAAAAATAAGTTGAACCTTGGTTAAAAGTTAACCATGAGTTGTGTGAAACGGCCTTAGTAATAATTTTGAAGCTATTTTGAGATGTTATTTTAATATTATAGGTAATATTATTATCGTGATATAGGATTATTAACGTGATGTTACAAATTCTTTGAAACATTCTTTGATTGCCTAGCAAACGAGAACGGATTGGATTGGATAAATCCATATGAATCAAGTTTTCGAATCCGCGTAATTCGTGAAAAAGGTATTGAATTTTGTAGAGACTGAATACACTGAATCCGTTTCTATACGTCTAGATAAGAATAATAATGTGAATTTTAGTGGATTTATATATAGATTCAGAAATGAAATGGTAGTCTGCGATCCCAGAAAGTGATTTATCGTTGGAAAGTATGCACCAAGATAATAATCACAGATATATGAATGAGCCCTAGTACTACCCAGAGTATACAACATTACGGATTCACGGCAACAGGGTATGACTCCCGGATAACCTGCATTGTGGCCAGAGTCTAGAAATTACCTTGTCGCCGCAAGTTGTCACACACTCTGTATATCACACCGGAGTTTTTGTTTGGGAGGTAAGGACTTATGTATATTACCTCGTTGCGTGATTTTCAACGATATCACTTGCCGAAATCGCAATTAGTGACTAGTACTTGGTGGATCTCTCATGTTAGACAATTCTTTAATACCGCGCGTTAAATTCAAACGAATTAGTTCATTGCGTTGAATATTGGGTAAGATACCAAAAGTGAATTACTAATACATAATTACGGATTCAACCGGATTGATCGTATGTTTCATTTCTATGCACATTGGATGAGATACAGAAAGTAAATAACCAATCCATAATTACTAATTCAAGCGAATTACGAATAGAAAAGAATTTAAAAAATTCAAAAACTTGATTTGACATCACTTCAATGAATAATTTTCAACATTTTTCAATAATTTCTCGTTTGCTGGGTGGTTATAGTTCGTAAAATTCTTTCTTTTGATTGGTCAATCAAATATTTCGAAATATTTATGAGATTTTGGATGCGATTCCGTTTCACGCATGAATACTCATAATTAGAGTTCTTAATTTTCCAGAAAAATAAAATCGAGGATAAAATATTGGATTTCTTTTGGTTTTTTTCTGAAAAATACGGAAAAATTTTAAAAACACTCCCTTAAAGTGTTCTTAATTTTCCGGAAAAATAAAATCGAAGGAAAAAAATGTGTATTTTTCGGTTTTTTTCTGAAAAATACGGAAAAATTAAAAAAATACTCTCTTATAGTATTCTTAATTTTCCGGAAAAATAAAATCAAGGAAAAACCTAAATTTTTTCCATTTTTTCCGAAAAAATACTTTTTCGTTTATATTTGAATTTAATGACAGAATGTTGCTTTAAATTATTTTAAAAAGTTATTTTATTTTAAAAAAATAGAAGATTTGTCTCAAATTTCAAATACAATGATACGATTGACCGATAACAAAGTACAAAATACTAGTATTTTTTGTTACACACAAAGTATACTTATATTATTTGACATCTATAATACTTTTTCAAAAAAGAAGTACTTGCTTATAAATTGTCTATCTTCTTTATACATATATATTCTTCTATATATATATATATATATATA